GAACCGATAGTACTCGTACTCGGACCGACCGTCTTCTTCTGAAGCTTATCCTCCTTTGGAACCCAAAAACCTGAAGACGGAACTTCGGCGGCCCCCACGGCTGAACAATATTCCGAAAACTCTTTCTTAGGCGTGGAAAAATGCCGAAAGATCGGCCTGGGAAGGGGGCAACCGCCAGAGATGTCAAGGTCGCTTGGGTCAAAAATCGATGCATGAGCATGGTCTGAAGTTTTCCATTCGGAAGACATGTTGGGCAGTCAAAAGAAAAGAAAGGATCCAAACGAAGAAGTAGAGAGAAAGCTTCTTGAAACTTAGACAAGTTATGGAAAAATGAGTGAAGAACTTGAAAACTCACCCCATATACTTATAGGAAAATTTTTACAATTCACCTTTGGACTTTTTGCCATTAAAGTTCCGCCTAATTCTACCAAACTCGCCAAACAAGTTCGATCCGCTCGCAAGATCTCCACAATTCTTACCAGCTGGGGGGCTAACTGTTGGGGTCAAAATCGGTACGACGGAATAGATAGCCAAAACTCGCTGCAAAAAGATAAAACAAACTGTTTTATAAAACTCGAGAAATCGTTTTATAAAACTCGAAGAATCGTTTTATAAAACTCGAAGAATCGTTTTATAAAACTCGAAGAATCGTTTTATAAAACTCGAAGAATCATTTTATAAAACTCGAGAAATCGTTTTATAAAACTCGAGAAATCGTTTTTTAAAACTTGAGAAATCGTTTTTTAAATCCAAAAGAGATTTCCGAACAAAGGAAATCCACGGGAAACTCGGAAGATCATTATCTCGGAGAAACGAAACAAACGTCGATTACATGATCGTCCGAGTTAAGCACAAAACCGCAAAAACCGAAACCGCCGTAAAACGCGAGCTAGTTACATCACGACTAGCTCGCCGTTGGGCGAGCTAGAAGCTTCCGAGTTCGCCAAACGGCGAGCTGAACCGGTCCGGTTCGACTCTCCGTACGTCGAACCGACCGTTCCGAGCCTTGATCTCCCGTATTCCCGATTCAAGGCTTATGTCCTTCGACACGATCGTGTTCCGAACCACGGTCGAAATGTCTCTTGTTTCGTCTCGATCTGTCCTATCATTCGAGTTTTACAATAAAAACCGTAAAACTTTGTTTTCTCGAAAAGAACTCGAGGGAATCGTATAAAACGGCAACGATTAAACGAAACATCAAACATTGCCTAAACTATACGATTTATTCGAGATTTTTTGTAAAAATTGTAAAAACGTGTTTTTAATAAAAGCGTCGAGTGAATCGTAAAAACGGCAACGATTAACCGAGAAAAGAACGTAGCTAAACTTTACGATTAACTCGTGGAATTTACTAAAAAACGGCATCTGATCAGGAAAGGATCTCGTATAAAGTCGTAAAACGGATTTATCGCAAAACGGCCAGGAAGGTTCTAAAACGCGATAAAAGCCCATCTCGCGATCTTAACGAAATCTAACCCGAAGATACGATAACGTTTTGATAGTTTACTCGCAAAAGGAAGATAAATTTCAAGTTTGAAGATAAATGGCAAGTTTGAAGATAAATAGAAGATTTCCACGGGGAAAAAGGAAGGATCGAGATAAATGGAAGATTCCTGATAAACTCGAATTCGGGCAAAATGGAAAGACTAAAACCGCCTAGGAGGGGAGTATATAAGCAAGAGGCATGGGGAAGAAGCAGGGACACGTTTTTCAGAGCTTTCACCACCAAATTTAGCATATAGGAATATTTCCATTTTCTGTTAGCGAGCTCCGTCTTAACTAGGGTTTTCGGTCTTAGACTTCTAAAGTTAGGGATTTCGCCGACGGCTCACGCAGCTAAGGCCACTCTCGTTGTAGCAGTTTTTACGCCGATTCGGAATAAAAAACTTTTTGCTCTCAATTTCGTTCATTCTCGCTTTAATTTTAAACTCATCGTTTTCTTAATTATCGTTGTGCGAATCTGAAGATAGCCGGGTCCTTTGGAAACTTAGGGTTTACTCAAAGTTTCCTTATTTACGATTTATTGACAGTAGGTGAATTACAGTTCTTACAAATGGTTTTGTTTCGAAGTCCTCTGCCAAGCTGAATCTCTGAAGGTGCATTCACTATCTAAGGGAGCTGCAGTGTTGGAGACACAATGTTTTCAGGATCAGAAGTTTGCGAGTCGTTAACCGCAGTTTCTGATGTCTCAGAGACATGATCAGAATCTGTATGTGGCAAAACATTATCGATGGGAGTGTCTATCATGGGGTTCTCGATCAGGTTGGGTTCATCCTCAACCGATTGTAGATCATGTTGCTGATCTGGAGGAGACGACTCTGATGAGTTCTCAGAAGCCATCAACTCTGTTGCTGCAGGTGGGAGTACACTGCGCTCATGTAAATCTTCATCCATACAACATACAGGACTGTTATTCTGAGCTGAAAGATCTGTCTCTGCATCTGAGGCTTGTGTGTTTGCTCCATACGAAAACTCATTCTGGAAGAACACCACATCGCGAGAGTAGAATATTTTCTGTGTTTCGAGATTATACACACGCCATCCTTTCTTCCCGTTTGAATAGCCGAGAAACACACATCTGATGCTATGAGAAGCGAACTTATCTCCTTTGTGATTCTGATTGTGGGAGAAACAGAGACATCCAAGAATTCTAAGATGATGAATGCGAGGAGGGCGATTATGTAGTTTCTCAAAAGGAGTCTTTCCATCAAGCAATGGTGTAGGTGTCATGTTAATAAGATAAGCAGCTGTCAGAATACACTCTCCCCAGAATTTTATAGGAAGAGAAGCCTGAAATCGAATCGCTCGAGCAACATTCAGTATGTGACGGTGCTTTCTCTCAGCTCGTCCATTCTGTTGTGGTGTTCCGGCGCAAGAAGTCTAATGCAGTATACCTTTCTAACGAAAATAACCAGACATACAAACGAACTCTGTTCCGTTGTCACTACGAACAGTTCTGACACGAGCATTAAATTGTTGTTCAACCATGGTATGAACTCTGTAGTGGTCTGTGAAACATCTTGTTTTGTTGGCAGAAGATATAACCACACACTTCTTGTGTAATCATCAACCAGAGTTAAGAAATATCGTGCACCATTACTAGACTGTATTCTGTAAGGTCCCCACAGGTCGCAATGAATCAATTCAAAAGAACTTGTAGTTTTATTAGAACTCTTTGGAAAAGAACAACGAGACTGTTTAGCGTGGACACAAATTTCACACGCTGAAGATTGCAAATCCTTATCACTAGGTAAGTCAGAAATAGATAAAAAAATCCAAAACTTTAAGAGAGGGATGTCCCAAGCGGTGATGCCAAACATCTCGAGAAACTGGTCCATTTCGATGCATTGCTCCTGCAAACTCCATCCCTTGAATAAAATACAGCCCGTTCTGCATCTCAGCCACTCCAATCAGCATCCTGGTAATGCGGTACTGGATAAAGCAAAGCTTGTCAGTTATCTGAAACACACTCTGTTTCTCGCGATTTAATTGAGACACATAAATCAAGTGACAGTGCAGTCCATCAACAAACAAAACGTTCTGCAGTCTGAGATCATTACTAACAGTCACTGATCCTTGTTTAGAAGCATAACTAAATCTCCCATCTGGAAGTTTAATGGGCAATGGTTGTATGTCTTTAACATCAGACAAAGAACTCAAAGAGCTAGTCATATGATTCGTAGCACCCGAATCAACTATCCAAGAACCTAAGAAAGACATACCTATCAATGATGTAGATGCAGGCTGTTTGCTTTCGTTCAGTAGGTTCACCAGTGTATGCCACTGGCCATCGCTCAAGCCTGTGAGTCCTACATGGTCTGAAGCCATAATCATATTTGCTGAGGAAGACGCCATTGCTTCTGGAGCTCGAACCGTGTTCACTCGCTGAGTGTCCAAACGATTCTGAGACACTGCAGCTCCTCGTCCTCTACCAGAATTCTGACGGAGCTTTGGACGATCTCCCCACCATTCAGGATATCCCACATTGCGAAAACATGTCTCAGCAGTGTGACCCTTTTTCCCACAGGCTGAGCAATGTCGATGTGTTTTGTCTTCTCGTGAGGGAAAAGCTCGACCAGTTTTAGAATTCGAGTTTGTTCTGACTGCATACGCCATTGTATCAACCTTCTCATTCAGAACTCGAGAAGTATGTTTAGTCTTCATCTTGGAGAAGCGCGCTGTATGCTTCGTCAAGTGAAGGAAGAGGTTCTTGAGACAATAGGTTTGATTTCACTGATCCATACAATGATTCATCTAATCCTTTCAAGAATTCACGAAGTCTATCTCTTTTTCCAGATCAGCTCCAACCGGACATGAGCAAATTTTAGACTAACGGAAATCGGATAGCGACATCCACAACTGCATCAGTTTTCCGTAATACTCTTCAATAGACAATCCTTGTTGTCTGCACATTGCAAGCTCATCTTTGATTCTCTGAACTCGCTGACCATTCTTGACCGAGTAATGACGACGTATGTGTTCCCAGTAATCACTTGCTATTTCAATATGAGACAGGTTTGATCTCACCCCTTCAGAGATCGTGAGTTTGATCCAAGAAACAACCAATGCGTTGTTCGTCAACCAATCTTCCAGATCCTCCGAATCCTCATCTGGTTTTGGTAATGAACCATCTACGAACCCGAACTTCTTCCTCGCTTTAAGAGCCATGCGCAGATTTCCGGCCCATTCGTTGTAGTTTGGCCCGCTGAGCAGAGGTTTTGAGATAACGGATCATGGGTTGTCGTTTGAGGAGATATTATATGGTGAGATCGTTCTCCTCTGAGTTTCAACACGTTGTTTCATTCCGGATTGAACTTTTGCCGGATAGCTCGCTCCTGTTTCTTCATCTTTTCCATCCTTGCTTCCCATGTTTGTCGAATTAAAGAGAGAATCAAGGAAAATTTAGACAGATCCAAGCAGTTTGATCGTATTACCGCTCTGATACCATGTCAAGAAACGCTACTTAGGTTAATGCTTTTTCTTGTTATTGCTGTAGGTCAATGACCAGTGTTTATATATACAGAGGCATCTTAATGTTATTGCCTAAAACAGAGATATCGTACAATCTAGGTTTACATATTTAGCTAGATCAATATATTCGGTGAATATATCTTGACAGTAATCTCACGGAGAAGTGGTCGAATTTCTTTCTTTTGGTGGATAATGCAGTTCTTTTGTACGAACAAGAACACACGGAGAAGAAGACCGTATCTTAGAAAGAAGAAGACGAACACAGAATCTTCGATCACTTCCCAAGAAGACCAAGATCATCATCATCATCGTTAAAGAAACCTCTTCAATACTTTAATGGTTCTTCTCCGCTCTTCGATCTTAACAAGATTCCCTCAGAGACGACAAAGACTACAAACCCACAAAACCTTAGTTCCCTATCATCTTCGTCGTCGTGCCTAATAGAGAACAACACAAGCCGCAAGAGACATGCCGTGCAAGAAGGAAAGATTAGTTTCAAGAAAGAAAAGGTGTCACCTTTCTTCACATGGGAGGGGAAAGATACGCCGGAGTGGATGGTTCAGTTGATGAGAAGCATGAAAGGAGCCTCAGACCCGATGCTAATCTTTGAGAAGACTCTGTTCGAGACAGATGTCGAACAGAGTCGAAACGACTTCTTGACACCTCTTGAGTCAAGAATCATCGAGGAAGACATCATGTCATCAACAACAACGAAAACATGGGTGTGGGAGCGATTCTTATTGATCAAGGCACTAAGAAGAGAGGTGTGTTTCTCAAGAGATGGGAGATGAATGGTTCTTGGAAGTACGCTTTGGTTTGTGGGTGGAACGTTGTCGTCAAGGCTAATGAACTGAGAGATGGTGACAAGATTAGTCTTTGGTCTTTCAGGTGCAGAGGAGTCCTCTGTTTTGCCATTGTTCCTCTTCCCATGTGACCACATTAGCTCTTCCTTTACTTAACATCTTACTTGAAGCGATTCTGTAGGTGCATTTTGAGAATTGTAACTATCAAGATTAGGGGTTTAGTACACTTGTGTTTGATCCTACAACACCTTGTTGGGTTTATCTTTAGTAATTTTTAGTTGTTTCTGCTTCTGTATTATTAATTGATGAATGTTTTGACATTAATACGTTTCAGTTTATTGATAATTTCATTTATCTCACATGAATCTTGAATCAAACGGATGTTAACCCACTTTAGTTGTTTTAAGAGCAAGAAATATATAAAACCAGGAAGAAAAATGTGTTGTGTTTGGTAAGACAAGTTTCTGTTTTTGGCAATAACATATAATCTCTCTTTACAAATTGAATCGTCAAACAACCAAGTGTCTGAGTTAAATTATGAATGAATCTATACAGTCTCTTGCTTCTGCAGTTCTACATATTATTGCCTCTTTGGCTCTTTCTGCTGCATTCACTCCTTTGACGAATGTTTTGGTTGGTTTACTCAAACTTGATGCAAACTTTTGTTTCCTCTTCACGTTTGAGTTAGGGAATTGTGCTCTCATTGGATCTTGAGGATACGTTTCTCTCTTGGTTATTATTCAGAACAGCTTTCTGGTAAACCCGTCTTTGAGATATAGTTTTCTTGTCTGGAGATGTGGTGCTCTCACATCAGTTGCTTCTGTAAAGAAGAGACCCTGTTCTGCTAACAAACCAGTTTTCTAATTAATAAAAGACTGAATTAGACACCACTCATAACTTTATAAGCAGAAACTAACCAACATTTAAACCCTGAATATACAAAAACCATCATAACTCTCCAACAACAACACTTACAAGACATGGTTTTAAATACAGACATGGTTCTACATATTTTACTATACAATGTTTAAGGTTTTAAGAGAGAGCTGCCTTCTTTGAAAAGCACAACACTTACAAGACATGGCTTTAAATACAGACATGGTTCTACATATTCTACTATACAATGTTTAAGGTTTTAACAGAAAATACTATTAAATACTTTTAAGAGATATATATGGTAAAATTTTACAAATGTGATCAAATTTATATTCAAATAATGTTTAGTATTTTATAACTATCTTAAACCCACATAATAAAAGGATATATTATTAAATAATAATTATTTATATGGAAATATAATGTTTTACATTTTTTTCTTACGATTTTTTTTAAAGGAAAAATTAACTTTTAAATAATTTTAGTCAAATTTTTAAAAGACTGTTATTTAACACATTTCATAATCTTAAATATATAATTATCATGTGTCCTGATCGTGTTAATTAATAAATTTGAAAACCAAGCTTTATATAATAAGAAAGTTTTTTGTTTCAGTTTTCTTTTTAGAAAGGAAAACTAACTTTAAATTCTTTTAGTTAAAGTTTTTTTAACTATTATTTAACACATATCATAATCTTAAATATATAATCGCCATATGTCTCTGATCATGTTAATTAGCAACTTGGAAAATCAAGCTTTATATAATGACATGTGTCAAAAATATAATACGAATCTCTTTTGTTTAGGATTTACAAAAGGAAAATTGTTGTTACAAAAAACAAAATTTCTTATGATTTCTTTTTATGATTTTAGAAAAGAAAAATTACTATACACAATTTATTACAATTATATTTTGATTAAGATTTAAAATAAATTATTAGTAAATAATTATTTCAGTAAATATCAAATAGTTTTTTTTTTTAAAGTGAAATTTTCCAATTCGTCTTTTTAATATATCTACATATTTTACAATTTATTTTTGTTAGTTAAATTGGATTTGGTATTATGTTTATCATCAACTTCTTAAAAAAAATTATTAATTAATTAAATTATATAATTATCTTTTGTCAGGATTTAAAAAGAAATATAATAAAAATGCTTTTGGTTTCAAAAAAGGGAAATTAACTTCTTAGATTATTTTTATATTCTTTTGGTTTATGTTTTTTATATGAAAAACTGTTATTTAATAAATGATCTTAAATATATAATTGTAACGTGTGAGGATCATGCTAAGTAGCAACTTTAGAAAACTAAGTTTGTAATTACCTTAAACCCATGTTGTAGAAAAATAAATACTATTGTTAAAATTTTATTTATATGAAAATATTAAAAAAATATAGAAGTTTCTATACCCAAGACCCTACATTCTTTATATGTATTCACGTTTGGCTATATTCATCTAAAATATTACAATTCTCTTTGGTTTAATATTTTTAACAGGAAAAATACTATTAAATATTTATAAGAAAAATATTTTGTAAATATTTTAATTTGTATACAAATTTATCTTAATCTAATATTTAGGGTTAATTATCTTACATCATGTTTTAAAAAAGAAATGCTAATGTTAAAATTTTATTTATATGAAAATATTAAGAAGGTTCTTTTTTAAGAATTATCTTTTTAGATTATTTTTATATTCTTTGTTAGAGTTTTTTTTTTTAAAAGGAAAACTGTTATTTAACACATATCATAATCTTAAATATATAATTTCCATGTATCGCAGTCATATTAATTTCAAAAAACTCAAGGAGTAGCTCGCGCAAAAGTAATGGTTTGGAGGGGTCCAAAATCTCCTCCAAACTTCATCAATAAGGACACTCAGCTAGAACTGTCGAAGGATTGGGAACGAGCTCAAAGTTCGACGCCTTACGGAGATGTGTCAGAAGCATCACCCATGACTTGTGTTCATTTCTGAGATGAAGAACATGAGGCTGCTGTTGCAAGACATTCAGGCCGACTTAGGATTTGATTGTTTGTTTACCGTTGAGCCACTTGGTCTCAGCAGAGGTTTACCTTTATTTTTATGGATGAATTTCAAGTTAATGTTTTATTTTTAAATAACAGAATGATTGACATTGAGGCAGACATTGATGGAATGAAAGTTTACATGACGTTTGTTTATGGAGATCATGTATTAGAACAAAAAGATTTAGTTTGAGAACGTCTTACGCGTTTCTCAACAACAAGGAATGGACCCTGGTTTATGATAGGCGTTTTAATGAAATTACCTGTCATGAAGAGAAGGAAGGAGGCAGACAACGTCTAGATAGCTCTTTCTTGCCCTTTAGGCAAATGCTGAATGATTGTGGTATGATGGATTTTCCTTTCACTGGGAACATGCTATCCTGGGTAGGTAAGAGAGCAGGGAGGACTACGGTTAGATGCCGCCTTGATAGAGCCGTTGGGAATAAGGACTGGCATGAGAAGTTCCCTCATTCAAAAGTGCAGTATATGAGACTCTGGGGATCGGATCATCGTTCGGTTCTAGCTAACATTCTTAAAAAGAAACCGAGAAGATCAAAAAAATTCAAATTTGATAAGAGATGGCTGGAAAACGAGGAGCTCAGGCAGATTATACAGGAAGGATGGAAGTCACCGGATCTCCCACCAGACGCAAGTATCATGGAGCATATAGCAAGTTGCAGGCGAGCCTTATGTGACTGGAAAAAATACATAATCTGAGTTCAGAGAAGAGTGTGGAGGAGTTGAAGGAGAAGGCAGATCGATTATCTTCAAATGATGATGCCACTACAGAGGACATTGCGGCAGCTTTAAAGGAACTTTCTGACGCTCTTAAGGCGGATGAGCTGTTCTGGAAGTAGAAGTGTAGGGTATTCTGGTTAAGGGAAGGAGATAGAAATACTAAATTTTATCACGCCCTCTTGAAGCAGAGAAGAGCGAGGAACATGATTACTCAATTGCTGGATGAAAATGGGAATGTTGTAGAGGATGAGGAAGGACTGGTAGCCATTGGTACAAGCTACTTTAGACACATTTTCCAATCATCAAATCCCGAGGACATAGAGGATGCACTTTCGGAAGTCACCACTACAGTTACGCCAGTTAGATAATGAGAATAACAGCTCCGGTCACCGAGTGGGAGGTTAAATTGGCTCGTTTTGCAATCCACCCAGAGAAAGCCCTAGGGCCGGATGGAATGACTGCGCTGTTTTACCAGAAATTCTGGGATATTGTCATGGATGATTTAACTCTTATGGTTAATCAATTCCTATTTGAAGGAACGTTGCCTTCTGGTTTAAATGATATTAACATATGTCTCATCCCAAAAGTAGATAAGCGAATCAGATGAGTCAATTACGACCTATCAGTCTATGTAATGTTAGCTACAAGATAATCTCTAAAGTCTTATGCTAGAGATTAAAAAAGATTCTACCAGATAGAATTTCAGAAACCCAGTCAGCCTTTGTTGCCGGGAGACAGATATCAGACAACATTATGATAGCTCAAGAGATGTTCAATGCATTAAGAACCAACCCAAGTGGACGCAATAAGAGAATGGCCATTAAAAAAGACATGAGTAAGGCATATGATAGAATGGAAGGGTCCTTCATCGAGGCCACCATGAGAAAGATGGGTTTCTCAGAGGTCTGGATAACCTGGATAATGCGATACGTAACATCAGTGAAGTACAAGGTCCTTATCAATGGCCAGCCAAGAGGGAATATTTTCCCAGAGAGAGGTCTACGACAAGGGGATCCTCTGTCCCCTTTCATCTTTATTATATGCACGGAAGCACTCGTTAGCCTCTGTTCTCTTTGCTGATGATAGCCTGTTCTTTTGAAAGGCGGAGCCCCGTGAATGCGAAGAAGTAATGAAAGTGGTCAAGAAATATTGCCAAGCCTCAAGACAATGCATTAATTTTGATAAGTCTTCTTTACTCTTTGGTAAAATAATCGGTCAGGATGTAAGACAAGAGATCAAAAACACTCTTGGGATCCAAAACGAAGGAGGAATGGGTACATACTTAGGAATCCCAGAGGATATCAATGGATCTAAATGCAAGCTCTTTGCTTACCTTAAGGACAAGCTAAGGAGTAGAGTTAAAGGATGGACTGGACGGTAGCTATCAAAAGGTGGCAAAGAAATTATGATAAAATCAATACTGCTAGCTCTCCCAACTTATGTAATGTCCTTATTTCTTCTTCCATTGGAGATTTGTGAGAATTTAGCTAGTGCCATCGCACAGTTCTGGTGGAGTTCAAACCCCCTAAAAAGGGGTAT